ACACAACAGGCCAATCAGAAGAGAGGCTCATGAATATTAATTAGACAGGCCAAAATCGACCTGTTCTCAGCAGAGCTCCTAAGAGACGAGCTGTAAAAATATATTGAGATGGTTTTTGGTACTTATACCGCAAATATATATTCTTAAGGCCATCAAAACCTAAAATAAAACTCCAGAAAGGTGTACAATATGTGACCTTTAAGATCATTATTTACTCCAGACCACAGTGAGGCAGTGTTGCAAAGATTGTGTAGAAATTCTCTCGTTCTGGTTTTACGGTGGGACGAGTCTCGCGATAGAAGGAATCACTTAGCCGCGGAGAAACATGGCAACGCTGTATGAAGGATACACGTTGTGTGGAGTTGGACCAGTGCAAAATTCCTCTAATATAGGGATTCTGGGAGTTGAACAGGGTAGAGATATCGACCATGTCCTCGTCACTGACTCTTCGAGATGTATTACCGTTTACAAGGTAAAAGAAGTTAGGTATAAATACTGTCTGTCTAATGAGAAACTGTCGCACGTGGTTCTACAGCGTGTAAACCCAGGAATTGCTCCAACAGCATCATATGCTATTAATGCATTCTGTACATGTTATTTCGTACGATATTTGTTAGCTCTTTGTATTACTTTTTAACCGTTTTTTTTCTGATAACTAGGTGTCTGATCAGAAGCCTACTGGCAGTTGGTCAGTGAAACAGGGACAGATAATCTCTTGCCCCGCTGTGTTTAACACGCAGTCCCAGGAATATGTGGTCGTTACAGATGACAGGGTAAGAAGACAGACATGATTTTCCCCATAAGACTGCTTCAATTTCACATGTTAAGAACTTGATTTAGGCATGATTGTTGTGTTGTAGGTCGTCAGAGTTTGGAAAGAAGATGATGTTAACCTGGAAAAGGCTTTTAAAGCAACAGTAAGTAAAGTTAAATTTCATAAGGTTTGAATTGGGTGGATGGTAGCTGCACCTGAACTGGTTACTTGACAATCAGCAGATGCTTTTTGTCTAAACCTACAAACAGAGCATAAATTATCGGACACAGCTGCATGTGTCCCAGTTCTGTCCATATAATCTGAGGCCTACCTCACCAAGCAGGTTGAATACATTTATAAAATTGTTAATAGTTATAAAATTGACAGTAGTAATTTAGTTGACACAACCCTCTACAGTGCGAGTAAATCGCTCGCATATGCGACTAAATCTTCACTCTGGGCAACTAAATGATGTCTAATATTAGCCAATGGCTAATAAATTATCAGATTTTACTCGCCAGTGTGTGAGTTGGAGACTGAGTATAAGTTTAGCACAGATATATTTTCACTCACAGAACACTCTGAGCGCTTCAGAGTTTCACTCTCCGTCAAGCAATCTGTGATATTTTTCAGTTCATTTGAATGGATGCGCAGCGCACCTGTGTTTGTGTATTTGGCGTAACGTAAACTCTAGTGTGAAGGCGTCAGAGTTTCTCTCTCCATCAAGCGATCTGTGCTGTTTTTCAGTTCATCTGAATGGATGTGCAACGCACCTGTATTTAACGTACCGTAAACTCTAGTGTGAAGGCGCACGACTCGCCGTCGCTTTGTTTCACACACGCAGAGGGAGAGAGAGAATTGACGTGCTACCTATGCGCTACATGTAAACGATATTCTTTGTTGTATTTTGATGTCAAAATAACGGAGTTCCTTTGGAATTCTTCAGCTTTTAAGAACTGCCGGGTTTTCCGGTAGTGGGCGGAACTAATGCGCAAACGACAATCTCATTGGCTGGTGCTCACCTATTATCGTCCCTGTTTAGATTTCAGCAAATCAGTTCGAGCGAACACACACAACCTGATTAATATTCATGAATCCAGTAGCTCATTAATCCTTAGTGCGTTTTATATTGTTCTTATTAGTAGAATTCGTATCATTATTAACTTATCAGTATTTTTGTTAGGTTTTTTCCCGATTGATCAAAACCTTTCATCAAAGTTGTCCTAAAACCTAAATGCGTTCTTGTCTTAGGACAACGTTGATGATCTTTTTTTGATCCACTTCAAATGTTGACTACTATATACACACATATATATCTCTCTCTCTCTCTCTCTCTCTCTCTCTCTCTCTCTCTCTCTCT